TTGACAGTACCTTTGACTTTTGACACGTGTAATTTCTACTCTTCAGTCCCGTCATTAAGATTTCAATTATTGAGTGTACTTTTATCTCCTTGTGGATGGAATTTCTTTGTGTCATCCGTCTTCTTTTTCATGTCTGTTTCTATCTTTGCTTCTGAGCCAATGGTCTCTTTTTCTCATCTTGTTTTTTCCATATAAGAAATTCCTATTTGGGGGCATGCTTTCCTTTTCCTTAATTAAATATGAAGCAGTTCGTTTCTAAAAACTAATTTCTGGGTTTTATAACAAATCAATTTCAAAAGTAATCTTTTTGCTCTGAACCTTCTTACCTTTTTTTCAACCCATGGTAGATTGTTTTCTGTTTACTCACTTAATTGCCCATGCATGAGGAAAGATTTACACAGATTCAGTATTTGTGAAAGCACAGTTTGTAGCTATTTCAAAATGGCCCACTGTCTGAATAATGGGCATAATTTCCATGCCATTTTTTTCCCCATCAAAGATTCAACCTTTTCAGGTCTTCAGGACAGGGATGTGTAAACTCTCTAATTCTCACTGTACAGTTCTCTGAATCTGTGAGTAGATGGAGTGTGTTGAATACCTCAGCCGGCAGCACACATTGCCCTAAATACTCTTCTAGTCTATTCCTCAGGCCATTTTGGTTGTCTGTGAGGATTACAAATTGCAGAGTAGTAACACCCACCATGTTCCTCCACCTCTGGCCAATAATGCCAGGAATGCATTTTCTGAATGTATATAAAAAGAGAGATTCTGAGAGCACATGGAAAGGAAAAGGAATGTATCACTGAATGCCCCACCAGTGCAATTTTCATATGGTAAGGTAATGGCTCTTCCTTTTTCTGTTTGGAACAGACCCAGCATCTGAGTTGTGATTAGATGGTGGAGGACTGGTGATGGTGGGGTTTAAGTAGACAGATGTGAGCTGATTAAAGCTTCCTTCAACCCAATTTTAGGATAGCTAGCTTCTACCCTTTGAGCCTATGAAGCATGCATAAACCTTTTATTGTGTTTCTCAACCTGGGTACACCAGCGTTATACTTAGAAATTCATCCCAACTTCTGAATTAGTGTCTCTTCCCTTACAATTCACTGGGGCAGTGAATATTTTTTATTGTACTATTTTAGGTATTTTACTGGAAATTTGAAATAGGGGCTATTAATGAAATGCCATTGTTCAGATGTCTTCAAAAGTTTAAAACATTTGCTCCATTTCTGAACTGAGATTTTTTTTCTCTGAAAGAAGTCTCTAGGTTTAGTTCATCTGGATGGCATAGACTTATATAATTTTCTCCTAAAAAAATTTCCCCCTTGATTTATAGTGTAATTGAATTTAAATCGACTGGTTCTGGGCTTACACAAAACTTTCATATCCTGTCAGCAGTTAACTGTTGCTTGCTCTTTCTGAAGAGCCATGGGATTGACTCCACAGTGGTTTGCCAGATTTGACCTTAGAATTAGCCCCCACTGGATGTGTGATACGAGCTAATTCAACCACGACTGACATCCCAGATTCTCTTGCTCATTATTGCAAATGTAGTCTCCTCTGTGAGCTCTTTTCTTCTCCTTGTTTCTCTTCATATTACCTTATGCTTTTTCTTCCCAAGTAGCTATTCCCCTAATTTTCACACAGTTGTACATTCTGGAAGCACTATTTCTTAGTAGCAAATTCTCCTCTATTTGCAACCTTTTCCCTGAGTGCTAGAAAGAAGAAATTTCTTTTATTTTCTTGCTTTAATTATTTAGTAATCAGAAGGTTGTTTCAAACACATATCCCCCCCCCCCCACACACACACAAGCTTCATGTTAGCCATTTATGAACTCATGGGATGGCTCATCCACTCTAGTCATTTCTGTAATGAGTGAGCATTTATAATCAGAGAAATTGGCCTGTTTCTCATCATAAAGAGATATTAAAGGGATACTCAGCAAAAGTTAAGCAGGCCATATAATTCTTTCATACGCTTCTGATTTGAATGCTGCATTCTTAACTACTTTAGTGCTTTCTTATGGCATTTGTTAGTGTGCAGTGTAGCCTTGGCAACAGCCCTAACTTTCTCTGCCGTATTAAGCCTTGCTAAAGGCCCAAGTCCACCATTATTTATGTGTTAGCTAGCAATTACAAGAACATTTGCTTGGATTGACCAAATAAAAAGTGGCCAGGGAACAGTTCTATAGATTACCACCCCCCCACCCCCCAACATACACTGTGGTTATAACTGGGACCTTATTCTCCTTATGTCATCTTACTTAAGGGCATCTGTGTGATCTTGTGATTTATAAGAAATATATATTTGGGCTTTGTCCTCATTTCTGGTGCAGAGCTTCTAAAACCCTTGGTATTTCCTAAGCGCTGAGAGCAATAAAGGTGTCTTTTGTTTTGTTAATGAGGTGACTTTGGAAAGCACCTAAGGGTGGGGGCTGGTTGTCAGAAGAGCCAATCCTGTAATTAGAGGGTTAGAAATTTCACTCCCACCTTCGACCTCTGTGTAGAAGAGAGGGGCTAGAGGCTGAATCAATTGCCAATGGCCAATGATTTAATCAACTATGCCTACATGCCCCTCCCCATACTTTGCCCTATGCACTTCTTCAATCTGGCTGTTCCTGAGTTGTGTCCTTTTATAATAAACAGTGATCTGGTAAATAAAATGTTTCCCTGAGTTCTGTGAGCCACTCTAGCAAATTAATCAAACCTGGGGAGGGGGTTCCTGGGAACCTCTGATTTATAGCCAGTTATTCCGAAGTATGGCTATGTGACTGGCATCTGAAGACCAAGGAGAGGGGTCATTGGAACCTCCAATCTATAGCTAGTCAAAAGCATAGGTGATAACCAGGCTTGTGATTGGCATCTGAAGGGTAGGGGATGGCCTTGTAGGATTGAGCCCTTAACCTGTGGGGTCCTATGTTATCTCCAGGAAGATAGTGTCAGAACTGAATGAAACTCGACACCCAGCTGGTGTAGAAGCATTGCTTGCTTGGTGGTGTGATGGGAAACCCCATTCCATACAATGGAATTGGTGACCAGAACCTTTTAAATCTGCCTTTGTATTCTCTTCTTGGCTGAAATCCAGTGGCTGGGTGCTGGTTAGCTGACAACTTTAGTAAGGACCAACTTTTGTTTCACTCCCTGCACTTCTGCTTGGACATTTGTTGTCCTGACTGAAATGAAAATCTCTGTTAACTTGATGGTTAATCACCCCTCCTTCTTGAAAATTGACTCTCTTGGTTTCCATGGTATTACATTCTCATGGTACACTACTCAACAGAAGGACTATTTTTTTCCAGGCATGTCTCCTTTCTTAAACATTGGTGGTTGTTGGGGTTTGGGGAGTGATAATCATGTCTCTTTCCAATGTGGCTTCTGAACCACTGGAGAGGTAGACACAGGACACAGATGGAGATCAACATACCAGTTTTATTCGGATAAGGCTGAATTGGCAAATGCAGCCTGAGACCACAATTGCATGACTCAGTCTTTTGACAGAATTGGATCAACCTTTTCACCCAGTTCTAGGCAGTGAAGCAGGAAACCCTCAGGCCTCCCTTTGCAAGGCAAAGCCTGTCTCTGCAGCTTCTAACAGGAGAAGTAAGAATCTGTACCCACGCGATACACCAATTAGTCTGAAGGTAAAGGAAGGTAGGACCCTGGGCCATACTTGTGCAGTCAGATATTTTGTTTTCTCAATCTGATAAATCACTACTCCTTCCTTGATGACTTCTCTGAAAGTGTGTGAGAAATACATTTTTAACTTTGTAGGAGGTCCAGCCTGATATGCAGATATTCTCCAAATATCTAATTAATTAATTCCACTCCTTATTCCATAATAATAAGTCATGAATTCTTCATACACTCCCAATGATGGTGTCTGCCCCAACCCTAACTCCTCATGTTTACATCTAAGCTTGATGATCGTTCCTTTAGGTCTTTCATATTTATGTAGTCATCATTCCAGATTTTATTCAGGTGTAATATGAGGATGTTTTCTTGTGAGATTATGCCATACTTTCCTAGGGACCCTTGTGCTAGGGTTTCTAATGGAAAGAGAATCTCATCAGGCCCCAGAATATTGGCATTGATGGAGCCTTGTATTTTACATGAATCTGAAGCTAAATTTGGGAGGAGTATTCTGAAATCTGGAAAGATTTGTGATTCTGAGTAGAAAGTATGATATAACTAGGATATTTTTTAGTATTCCCAAATGAGTGTCAGCTGAGCTGGAGAAAGGATTCTGAATCACCTTTTTCTTAAAGACTGAGACATTGAATTACATTTTAACCTTTTTGCTTATAAGGCTTTTTTTTTTAGACTCCAAACATGAGCACATCCATGCATGTGTAGGATTTGAGCAATTTCCTCCATGTTGGAAATGCCCTTCCCAATGTGAGATCCTTTTGTTGACATGCAGTAGGATAGAGACCTACTTTGTATGGGGCAAAAAGCAAAAGACAATGAGCACTTTATGGCAGTTCAGGCCTGGAAGGCAGGAAATTACTGAGTGGCTGAATCAACATTTAATGAGCTTCTCCTGTGTGCAGAGAATGATTCAAGCCCTGAGGGGAATATAGAATACTCCATTAGTTCATGTTCTCTTCGTGTCAAATGCCTATTTTCTAATTGAAAATTTACATAAAGAGAAATTCTTATAAGTCTCTGTATTTATCACTCTGTCCATTAATATTCTCAGATGTGGGTTAATGTACTAACTCCAGAAAAATATGTGCCATCTACCCAATCTGCAACACCACTCAACTTCTTGTAGTATTCAGGGTTTCCCCCCTCTAGATTCATGGATGCTTTTTAGATGAGCCATAAGAACAAATAAGCCATTTGAATGTTTCTTTTATTCTCTTGGTTGGAAACATATCTACAATCATTAGGACTAAATTTGACTTTCCATTGCCTGACCAAAATTCAAGGTCTGCCTTTCACTAAGTTGCTAGATACCATACTGGTTGTATAACACCTCTTTCCCATTCTTTTTCCAGGAAATCCATTCAAATATTGACATATATGCTGAACAATTCACTGATTTCTTCATTCATTCATTCAATAGTATTTATTGAGTATCTTTTGTGCCTGGGCACTAGGGTTACCAAGATATTACTATATATGGCCCCTGACTTTGAGACACCATCTATGAGGGAAACAGACATAGAAACCAGCAGCGACAGGATGATTTGATGTGTAGGTTAACAAAGGTATGTACAAAGGTGAAGGAGTCAGCTGCCTTGGGATGAGAAGGGGAAATGGGATATTTTAATCTCATCTTAGACCACATATATGGAGTTTCCCAGGTGGAAGGAGGAACCTAAGGAAAGGAAAATGTGCTAAGGAATCAAGTAATTATTGAGCCTGTCATAGTGTTTCTTTGGGAATAAACAACAAGTGTTTAATTTACAAATTTGTAAACACTGAATGACAGATTTTCTTCTCAGTAGAGTGAGATCTCTAGAGCAAAAGGGGAGAAGAATGGTTTTTATCCAGAGAAACATTGCAAAATCAAGTCAGCTAAAGACAGTTTCATATTTGTGCATTTGAATACTTGTTTTGCACTTAAGTTTGTTTATCAAGTTCTAATTTAAAATTACTTCAAGGCCCAAATATTCCTCTGGTTGTGCATATATTATTGAACTGGGACAGCATGACCAGGATAATCTTGGTTTGACCATATCTTTGATTTTTCTTTCCTTCTTCCAGGATTATACACTGAGTATGAGCAGCCAGACCAAAACCTCTGATGTGGCCAAGAACAAGGACTGGGTGAGCCAAAAGTGAAGGGGCGAGATGTTCGATGACTCTGTGGTCAAGCCAACAGCATGTTTGGCCTCGTTGCCATGAATGATTGCTGAATTCCTTAGAATAGGGGAACTCGGGTAAATGAGCGCTCTTGTACTCAATTGACAACTCTGGAGATTCATGTGGCCACTAGCCCTCAGCTATCTTGGATAGACTGAGAAACCCAAAGAACAGAGGAAGTGGGGACTTGGTACTGTTTGGGTTTTCTTTGTACAGTGAATTTGTTGTTGTTTACATTTGTTTTTAAAGATCTTCCCCAATCCTGAGATTTCTCTCTACTTTCCTATTGAAATGGAAATTCTCCACATAATTGTGTAGGTCATTGGATATTGCTAAGGAGACAAGCAACATCCAGTGTTTTGTAACAAAATTTAATGCTTGTTGTCATAAAATATAATATAGTTCTCATTTTGGGTGGTCAGTAAGGTAGATCAACTAGCACACTTGCCTATGAACATTTTTGCTCTAAATGTATTAGTTGAGGTGGGAACGTAATATGTCACAGAATTCATAAGTTGCTTTTACTTCTAAAAAGATGCTGGTGCACTACATTGGTGATATCAGCAACAAAAATTTCTATGTGAAGTATTTTTCAGTCTTTCCATCCTCTTTATCTCTAAGCATATTTTTGTTTACCCTGCATGATTGTAATGAGACTCCATAATCTCCCTGTTTACATAAACACAGGTAAAAATTGCTTCAATAATCCATGGTACCTTTCATTTAATAAATGATAGATATATTCTGGCCATTCTTTCTCTCCTCTTTATTAGTACAGCCATCATTTCTATCCCCTAAGAAAAATTGATAAAGAGAATGAGGAATCAGAATCAAGGCGCCAAAGCACTTTGCAAGACCTGCAGTGGAAATACACACTTTTCAGTAAGCAGGATCAGATGACACACTCCTGGAAGAACTCTACATTTATTAATTCAATTCCTATAACAACCCTAACTCCCAATTTATAACTCCTAATTTTCAGATGAGGAAACTGAAGGCCAGAGATTTTAAGTAACTTTCTAAAGACACAATGGATTTGGGGAAGCTTGAACTCAGGCACCCTGGTCTCTCAACCATTATGCTACAAATAGCTTTTGATTTTAGTGGAAAAAAAACCCACATTACTTTGCTTGATTGAGTTAACTGGTGAAAAAATCATTACCTTTTAAATCTATTTTTATTGTAATTCTTCTGATTTTATAAAGAGGACTAATTTAAGTGTACTTACAGCTACTGGACTTAGTTTCAGAGATATGAAATCAGGTGGCTTGTACTCTATGGTGAACTAAGCAACTGTATTGAGGCTCAAATGACTAACACTTGGCTGGACCTCACATCTGGTACTGGGCCACAGTAAACATGCCCCCCTGGCTGAACTCAGAGATTCAAAACATTCACTCTTTGCACATTAGCAGATTCTTGCTTCTTTCACACAAGTGGGGATTTTGCATAAAGTACAATGCAAATATGTGTGATATTTTTCAGAGAGAGATTGTATTCTAGGGATATTTATCTTCAGATTATATTAAATTGGACACTATTAAGTATTTAGTTAGAACAAATGAGAACTTACATATACTGTGTAAATTCAAAATTGTGCAAAACAATACAAGAGTGGCTATCACAACTCCCATAGAAAGAAAACATTAAATGGTATATAATAAAGGGTGATATGATTGGATCCTTGGCTCAAAGTCCATCTAACACTTGCTGGCTATGTGTTATTGACATCATTTAGCCTCTGTGACTTAGTTTCTTCATGTGTAAAGTAAAGATTATAATAGCAACAATATCATGCAGTTATTGTGAAGATTAAACCAGGTAATATATAAAAAGCCTGAGCAGAATGCCTGGTACATAGTAAGCCCTCAGTAAATATTAGCAATTGTTGCATTCTTGAGAATGTGTATTACAGATTGCTATTTGTCTTAGTTAAGCCATAAGTGACTTCAACCAATAAGAATTTATTCATGAGTCCTTTTTTAATACCAGCCATCAATACTCAGCCAATTAAACAGAGGTGATAGTTGGTGTTCTATAGATATGTTTACAGAGTAAATTACCATAGTGAGTGCTTATGATATAACTAAAAGGGCATATTCCCTCCCATAGAGTTCTATAATGAGGCCAGAAAAAAATTGAATTGGTATATGTGAAATGTGAAAGTAAGGTAAGTTTGGGAAAATGCAATTTGTCTCATGTCAGATTTTTGCCCAAGGCTAGGCTGGTTGTAGAGTTGACTCCAGCTTTAATTATTTTAGTCTATATTCCACTGGACAGGGAGGCATTTTGAGCTCAAAGATATTTTGGCTTAGAAGATGATAATAATTTATAGGCCTTAAAAGTGTTCTCTTAACCATCCCAGAAAAATATACTTCCAGTAGTGCTAGTATTTGTGAGCAATCTATGAGAAATAGAATAGGCTTGTTTATCTGTTAAAGCCCTTACTTAAAAGTGGATTAGAGGTGACTATACTAAAAAAGACTGCAATGTTCCATATTTTGTGCATTGGTAATCAGTCCACTTTAAAACTTCAGACTCCATTTTAAATGTTACATATTTTATCTGCTATTCATTAACATTTGCCAATGGTTACTACATAAATAAATAAATGAATGAAAAGAACAAAAAGGGTTTCATATGCCACAAGTGTATTCCGAAAAAGTTGGCCAAGTCGCCTGAAAATTCAGACTACTAATAGAAAGTATTGAAAATAATAAACTTTTATAGAATTCTTGCCTTATTGTACTTCTTTGAATTTTACTAAAATGCTTGCCACATGTAACTTATTAGAATCTTTGGATCTTGGTCAGCATACTGATTTTTCTCTTGTATTAGGAAGTTAGTCACCCCAATACCCAGGTGGGAGATACAACTCCTGTTTACTTGAACTTCTCAGAATTAATTTTGTATAAGCTGTGGATTTATAGCTCCTTGCCAGATTATAGGAAAGCATCTGGAATGCAAAAGTTAAGTGATTTCTGTAACAAAATTGAGCCATATATTGAAGGTGAGAGTGGGCTGGTCCCTTACAGGACATACCAGACTTGGGATGTGTTCTGCATGCCCTCCCAGAATGGCTTAAAGACTTCTTTTCCAGACCCCGCTATTGTTGTGCCTGTTCACATTTTAACTGTTGTCATTTTATGGGTGTGGGGTGCATTTGCTAATTTGGAGAAGAGAGAAACTGAGAAACAATTCACACCGTCTAAACCAGTGTTCCGTAAACAACATTATTCTTGAAAGGAGAGATGAGGACTAAGTTGTACCAAATGGAACGTGTATGGAGAAACCTGCCGACCCCATTGTTTGTGTGTGTTCTTTAGTAGACAGAACAGAAAAATGAAGACTTTTCCTTCAATGCTGAACTACTTAATTGCATACGCAAAACTTTGTGTGAAAAATTGACAGCCTTAATCTGAATAGACTCATCTACAAAGGGATGGAAGCCTAAAGTATGTGATTCAATGCATGGAGAAATTGATTCAGGACTGTTGCTTATTCTCTCAGCAAGCCAGCAGGAATATTTTCCAGGTTTCTTTAGTAAAGCCATATGCTCTTGAAGGGAAAAAGTATCTTTTTGTAGTCATGTAACTGTAATGCTATACATTACCACATACAGTTGTAGGGTCTCACTTTGTATACATACTACCAAAACAGGATAACGATGATCTTATGGTGAAAAACCAAGGAAAGCAAAAAAAAAAAAAAAAAAAAAAAAAGTCTAACAATCCTCTGCCTACTTTGGTCACACACTGTGCTAAGTGCTTTTATCTTCTATTTCAGTATATCCTCAGTATAAAAGGCCTATTATATTTCTCACAAGTAGCTGATGTATTAGCATTATTGGATCTATTTTTTCAGTTTAGGAAATATTTGTATGGGGTATAAATTATTGTTCTAGGCAGTAAAGGCTACTGCTAATCACATTTTACAAATGAAGGCACTGAAGCTAAGAATAATAAGAATAACTAGAGATAGCTAGTGTTTGATTCTGAGACTGGATGGACAATAGCCAGACTATATATAACAATTGAACTCTGACCCACAACTTGTAACAACCAGCTCAGGAAGCCAAATCACTCTCTGTAGGACTGCAGACTCGTAAAGATTTATTCTTAAATTCTCTTCTAAAGGTTTTATAGTTTTATTTTCTACATTTATATCTATGATACATTTTGAGTTAATTTTGTGTATGTTGTCAGAAAGGGTTCCAACTTTTTTTGAATGTAGATATCCAGTTCTAGCAGCATTGATGAGAAGACTATTTTTCCTCATTGAATTGTCTTGGTACCCTTGCTGAAAAAATCAGTTGATAGTAAATGTGAGCTTTTATTTCTGGATTCTCAATTTATTCTACTGATCTATATGTCTAACCTTGTTCTCGTACCACACTTGTTTGATTACTATAACTTGTGATAAGTTTTGAAATTGAGAAGTGTATGCTCTCCAAATTGTTTTTGTCATTCAAATAATTTTTTTTCTTCTTTTTGGCTATTCTGGGTCTCCTGAATTTTCCATATAGATTTTAGGATCAGCTTGTCAATTTCTGAAAAAAGAAAAAAAAGCTAGGTGAAATTTTGACAGAGATTGCATTGACTCTATAGACCAATTTGGTGAATACTGACAATATTAAGTCTGATCCATGAACATGGGACATCTTTCTATTTATTTTTGTTTTCATTAACTTCTATCAGCAGTACTTATAGTTTTCATAGCTAAATTTTGCACTTACATTGGTAAATTTATTCTAAAGAGTTTTGTTGTTTTGATGCTATTATAAATAAAATTATTTTCTTAATTTTACTGTAGGGTTATTAATTGCTAGATGTAGAAATCCAATTAATTTATGTATATTGATTCTTTACCTTACAAGTCTGATGAACTTATTAATTAGTTCTATTTTTTTTTTTTGGTGGATTCCTTAGGATTTTTTTATATAAATGATCATGTCATTAGTAAATAGAGATAGCTTTACTTTTTCATTTCAAGTCTGGATGCTTTTTATTTCTTTTTCCTGCCTAATTGTGCTGGTTAGAACCAGCAGTAGAATGTTGAATACAAGTAACAAGAGTAGACTTCCTTGTAATGTTCTTGAATGTAGAGTGAAACATTCAGTCTTTCACCATTAAGTTTGATGTTAACTCTATATTTTTTATAAACATCCTTTATCAGGTTAAGAAACTTTCCTTCTTTTCCTGGTTGAGGTTTTTTAAATCATGAGAGACAATTGGATTTTGTTAAATGCTTTTTCTGCATCTATGCAGATAATCATGTAATTTTTGTCCTTTATTCTACATATGTTTTATTATATTGATTGATTTCTAGATATTAAGCAAACCTCACATTCCTGGAGTAATTTCCGTTTGATCATAGTATATAATTATTTTTATATGCTGCTGGATTC